CTTCATAGTAGGCCAATTTTGTTGTCTTTATGAGCCTCTGAAGGTTTGGTTCTGAATCCATCACTACATCCAGATTCCCAACTTTTTAACAATCTTCCTTTTGTTCAAATTGTATTACTTCAGTTTTGTTTAGATTCAGCTAAAGAAAAATGGGTCACATCCATACATTGATTTTTACCCAGTGCTAGAATGGGTTATAGAATGGTGACGTACAGCTGTGTGTCGTCTGCAAAGTTATGATAACTGTTGTTATTTATTAAGATTTGGGTTAGGGGGAGGATGTGGATAAGAAATAAAAGGGCCCCTAACATGGACCCCTGGGGAACGCCACATGTAATTTCTGTGGTCTGTGTGGACTGTGATTCTTCCAACTGTCTCTATTTTCATGGATTTCACTGAGCACTTTGATAAGAACAGTCTCTTTACTGTGGTGCGGACAGAGGCCTGACTGGAAGACTACTAGCAGGCTGATCATTGTTGGGAAGGTGTTGAACTGCTGAAACTGAGCTTTTTAAAATAATCAGTATTGAAGGGGAGATGTGAGACTGGCCTATAGTTTTGTAGTAGCAGATTTTCCAAGTTGCTCTTTTTTAACAGCTGTTTGATGATTGCTTAGGGTGTTTTTTTTTGGATTGATTTTTTTAACCATGGGAGAAATTTTATGGATTTTTGAAATTCAGTCAGCCCTGGTGAGTTGATCATAATCCCATCTTACTATTGAAGTACATACCCCATTTACACTACCCTTGAAAAACCGATCCATGCCGACACCGGTCCGAGATCAGATCAGTTAACCAGGCTGAGTTCGGTTCTGACGACCGTTTACACATCACGCTATCTCGGTTCCTCGACTCCTAGTGACGATCTGTGGTATTACTGCCAGTATTAAAGGATGAAATCAAGCAGTTGGTGGTGGTAATGCACCGAAAGTTGTTTGCCAACCGCCATAAAACACAAGAAGAAGATGACAAAAAAGGAGGGAATCAAGCAAATCAAAATGGCGGCGCCGTCACATTCAGAAAATTATGCTTGATTATTATTGCTGTAAGTCGGTGTTTGCGGAGGATCAGGCGAAGACAGCAACCTTTCGTGGATTTACTTGAGAAAGTCGGCTAAACTTAGTTGTTGTTCTTCTTCTATTTTGTGTTGGTTGGCAAGCAACTTCTGGAGGGGCATTACCGCCAACTACTGGAATGGAGGGTGAATCGGGATGTGCAGCCAGACGGAGATGACAGGTTTTGCTCATGCGCTCTTGTTATCAGAAAA